GAGGGGCCAGATGTGCTTGGCTTGGACCCTGTGGGCAGACTCAGGAGCAACAGGGAAGCAGGAGAGGCCAATGGAGGCTTCCTCACAGTGAGAGCCATCCCCAAGAACGTCCGACTTACCATTCATGGAGGTCTCCAAGAAAAGATGGGGGGAGCACATGCCAGTCATAGGAGGTTCCTTTCTATGTGGGTTGGACACAACCCTCCCTTCCAGCTCTGGACTTGGCCTAGCTCGCCTTCTAAGCCCCAGGCTAGCCCGAAGTCACCGGCTCCCCATAGGCTGGAGATCCTGGAACAGGGGAGGGATAGACTTCAAAGGCTCATCAGGAGATGTCCAAGGTCCAAAGGCCTCCCCGAGCCTGCTGCCCAGAACCTGCCTTATTCTTGGCAACTGTGACTGACCTCCACTGAGCATGGGCCCTGAACACCACCTCCCAAACTTTTCCGTTGGTGGGGGACCAGCATGGCGGAGCAGGCACGGCCAAGAAATGTGGAGGGGAGGCTTTGGAGATGGGTCTTGGGCCAGGCACCAAGCAAGAAGCTGCCTTTACCCGGACATCGGAAGGGGGTGGGAGCCCTCTGAAAACAGCCCGAGGGATTCCCAGGAGTGCACACTCCTGACCTAGGACGAGCTGGGTGAGATGCCTTGGAGGGAGGTCCTGTGTCTCTAAGCATTTTGGGAAAGTGGGAGTGAGGTGGGGGTGGAGCAGGCCTTTGTCTAAGGTGTGGAGCAGGGCAGGGCACAGGACCAAGTTAGAAGAGCTGTGTTCGAGTCCCATGACTGGTGGGGGTGGGGGGCGAGGCTGAGTGCCGCTCACTGCTGGCTCGAGCATCCAGAGGAAACGGGCACCCTGCGGGTCAGTGTCCAGCTCCCGAGCCTGAGCTTGTGTCTCCATCTGAGTTCCTCGTGGCCCCTCGGCCCCGTGCGCCTCTGATGGCAGGCGGGAGCCGTGTGACGAGCACCTGGCATCTGCCCGTGTGAGCACGGCTCGCACATGCTCCAAATTAAGCCGTCCTTGCTCATGGCAGTGGAGCGGAAAATTGAGTTCTCACGGCGTGTTTTGAGAACGAGGGGGGCTGGGCCTGCCGAGCGGTAAAAGGCCAGGCGTATTTGTGGGGCAGCACCAAGTCTCGGCCACTCCCTGGAGAACCACCTGCCGCCTTCTCCCAGCGAGGGCTACTTGCGCAGAGCAGGCCCTGCCTGGGAGCTCCCCTGGAGGCCTTGGTCTCCTCCTCTGTTAAATGGGGCTGGAGCAAGGTGGGGTCAGACTGTAGGACTGGCTAAATCTATTCCAGCCCGCCCCCCTGTTCCTTCCCTGCCCTGGAGGCTGCCTTCACCATCTCCTCCCCCACGCCCCAGTTCTAGGCCCTTGCCTCTGAGAGTGCTTCCCTCTACCCTTTGTGTATCTCGTGTGGATGCGGTGTCCCCCCATTAGAGTGGGAGGTCCATGAGGCCAGGAACTGCTTTTGCCTCTCCTTGTATCCCTAGCACACAGTAGGTGCTTCATCTTCATGTTCCTGCATGCCCTGTGCTTCACCGCACATGGAGGGACATTTTGCCTGCATCTCTTAGGCACCCGGAGCCCTTGAAGATGCCACAAAATCAGATCCAGAAGCCTGCCCCTCCAGCGGGCACAAGGATTCCAAGGTAGTCCTTCCCACAGCCAGGCTTTCTTCTTCCTTCAAGGAGACACTTACCTGTCCCTGCCCCCATACGCCCCCAGTCAGTTCGGTCCTTCCTGGTGTATGAAGATGGCCCATAGAGCAAGGCTCTTGGCATGTCGTCAGCGCACATTTGCTGAGCACCTACTATGTTCCAGCCACCCTTCTGTGGACACAGAAGGGGACAGCCCCTGTCCTCAGGGAGCGCAGAGTCAGCCAGGGGAGTCAGACTATCCACAGACAATTTAATACAAAATTCATTCGGAGACAATACAAAGTAACTCGGTGAGCACCACCAGCAACTGGGAGGGTGAGGAGATAATCAGGGGAGGCTTCATGGAGAAAGTGGCCCTAGTGGCTTTGATGGAAACTGGGGATTCTAAGATATGGAACTGAGGGATGAGAGCAGTCCGGGGGGGGGCTGATGTGGCTGGACCAGGGGGGATAAACGGCAGGCGGCATGGAGGGAGCCTGGAGAGGCAGGTCGGAATCTGTCATGAAAGGTGGTGGCTGTCCAGCACAGGGGCTTGTATTTTCTCCTAGACACAGGTAGTAGGGAGGCATTATCACGGTGCTGGTCTTGTGAAGGACAGATCAGAGAGAAAAGGGTTTGGAGATGGAGACGGGGATGGGAAGGTCCATCCAGAAGCTGTAGTGAGGGGTCTGGGTGAGGGGCCAGGAGGGCCTGAGCTTGGGCAGTGGCCAAAAGAAATGAATGGTTAAATGAGGGAGGGAAGGAGTGAACAAAAGAGTGTTGGTGAAGTGCTTACGGGGGCCAAGTACTGGACCAGGTCCTGGGGAAACAGAAAAGAAAAACAGTCCTTGACATTGTGAGTGGGGGGGAGTGAGAGTGTGCAGGAGGTTGAAAGGGCAGCCCCCTCCCCGGCCCAAGGGTGCAAGAAAGCACCTGCTGAGGCAGCCTTCATCTCTATGAGTAAAATGGTAGGGCTACCTGATGGGCGTGGGGATGAAGGGGTGGAGGTCAGATGTGGGAGAGGCAGCCAGGGGAGGGACTGAGGCAGGAGCCAATGGTCTGAGGGTCATCAGTGTAGGGGGTGACTGAAGCCATGGAGCCGATGAGGTCACAAAGAGGGGAGTATAGAGAGGGCCGAGAGGAGGAGCTGGGCCAGAGTCTTGTGGGAACAGCTGCAACTAGGGGGCAGCATATGGATAATGAGCCTGCCAAGAAGATGGAGGAGCATCCAGTAAGGTAGAACCACCAGAAGCGGGCAGGGTCTCAGAATGCCCAAGAAGAGAGTACTTGAGACAGGGCAGTGAGCAGAGTCAAAAGCAGCTTCGAGGTCAAGGAGGGAGGGAGGGATGGAAGGATCGCAGGATGGAAGAATGGATAGTGGGTGGATGGGTAGATGGACAGACGGACGGATGGATGAATGGAGGGATGGAAGAATGGATGGATAGATGGACAGTTGGGTGGGTGGATGGATGGATGAGTAGGTGAATGGATGGGGGAAGAATGGATAGTGGGTGGATGGGTAGATGGACAGACGGACGGATGGATGGTGGATGAATGGGGGTGAATGGATGGGTGGATGGATGGAAGAATGAAAGGATGAAAGAATGGATAGTGGGTGGATGGGTAGATGGACAGACGGATGGATGGATGAATGGAGGGATGGAAGAATGGATGGATAGATGGACAGTTGGGTGGGTGGATGAATGGATGAGTAGGTGAATGGATGGGGGAAGAATGGATAGTGGGTGGATGGATGGATGGAAGGAGGGATGGAGGGATGGACTGATGGATGGATGAATCGATGCATGGATAAGTGAATGGACCATTTTTTAAGCATTTACCATGTGCCCCGCCCTGTGCAAGCACTGAGGGTACCGGTACAAACAAAAATGTCTCCACCCTCAAGGAGCTTTCACTCTAAATGGGGGAAGAGAGCCCACAAAGTGGAGCTAGAAATCCCAGGGAGTGTTTGTGTAAGAGAGAAAAGGCTGTGGATCATGCAATTAAGAGAGAGCTCAGGACTTTAGAGATATGGCCACACTCGACCTCCCCTTCTCAGGGCCCAGAGTAGAGACTCAAACCATCAAGTCCTGTAGGTGTGGACTGCCGGGGCCCTGGGGCAGCCTCTGTCGGGCACTTGATACTTTGTCTCCTCCCAGGCAGATCAGGTGTCTGTGATAGGGGGTGCTGCCCCCCCATGTGTCAGCTGCTCAGAATTCTCTGCTTCTGCAAAAATATTTTTCAGTGCCTGCAAATGACGGATAAGGGGAACGGCATGCTGTAGTGAAAAGAGCCCTGGATTAAGCATCTGAGGCCCTGGGTTCAGATCCTGGTGCTGACCTTTGTTAGCGGGGTGACTGTCCACTCCCATGTCTTGCTGGGGCTGGGAGTGGGCCCCCCTGGTCTCAGTCTTACTGTCCTAATTAAATATTTCCAGCTGATTTCAGCCTCCTAACAGTCAAAACCCTCCCTGAGGAGGGGATTGGGCTGCCTCGGTAGAGAGGTAGGTTGTCAGGCAGAAGCTGGACCGGGGCAGCTACTTGTGGGGGACGTCCTGTTGGGGTGTGACCTGGCTCTTCTGACACTCATTTTCCTGGGGCTGAGAGCAGAGGGGAGCAGGTGACCGTGTCAGGATTTGAATGCAGGTCCTCTGACACCCGGCCAGCCCTCTTCCCTCTGCCCTCAGGAGGTGTGCAAGGGCACTCCTGGGGCGAGGAGTCATGCCTGCCCCACGCCTGAGCAAGCCCTCGTGAGCCTCAGAGTAGCACTGCCACATTTCGGGAATGCCGTGGCTGATGTCTCCGGTGTTGGGCTGGGGGTTTGTTTATTTTTCCCCTTCTGGTTCCCATGAAGCCGGCAAGAAAATTGCGCCTTACTCGGTCCTGTGCCTTGGGGCCACGCAGTGAAGCCGCTTTCAGCACTGTGCTATCCAGGGTCCAAGTGTCCGCACTGGCTTGTCTGTCCCTTGTGGTTGGCCAGATGCTGCCGCGATGGCCCAGCTCTATCCCAGGCACTGTCCCGCTCAGGAGCATCCCTATCACTGACCCCTGGCTCCAGGCCAAACGGGATGCCCCACTCCCTCCTCCTCCTCCTCCAGCTTCCTTGGGCTGAATTTCTTAGATCCTAGGGCCTGGCACACAGCAGGCGCATAATAAAAGTCTGCCAAATCAAACTGTTGCTCAAGGGTAGGCTGGCCAAGCAAAAGAGACAAGATTTGCTGAATATGCAGTGGGTGGGAGTGAGTCTTGATGACTGGAGGTGGGGAGGCTGTAGGGCAGGGTGGCTGGGGGGGGGGGCCCAGGGACCCCTGGGGGGGAGGCCTCGGGCGTTGCCATGGTGACCATGCTCTCTCGGTCTCCTTCCAGTTACCCATACAGTGAAGACTCGAGCCAAGGAAAGCAGTACATGAATACCCGCTGTCCCGCGTGGTGCGACCGCATCCTCATGTCCCCATCAGCTAAGGAGCTCATCCTGAGAGTGAGTGCGCGAGCCACGGGGCTGGGCTGGGCTGGGCCCCGGGATGGAGTGAGAGCGCGCGCACACACACACACCCCCCCTCACACTCATTACACACATGGATACTCACACAGATACATGTACACACCAACATTCAGACACACACAGCACACTCATTACACACATACACAGATACCTATACACACTAACACTCAGACACACATGACACACGTTCATTACACACACCCCTCACACTGCACACCATGCACACACACACACACACAACACACACATTACACACCATGCACACACCACACATACACACACCCCACACCACCCCACACCACACCACACACACACACACACACCACACACACACATACCACACACACACATACCATACCCCCCCACACACACACCCCACACACACACATACCACACACACCACACACACCCCCCACACACATACCACACACACACACACCCACACACATACACGCGCGCGCATGTCACCGGGGGTGATCAGTCCCCTCACCCAGTGGGAGCTCCTGCATTGCGGGCCGGGCTCTCCCCTGGGCTGGCAGCCCCGGGTGCCTCTGCCTGGCGCAGTGGGCTCGGTCAGTGCACTAAGGGACAAGGGGATCTCAGAACTCAGAGCCACCTCTGAGTGCCCAAGGGCCAATGGAGCGCAAAGCTTCTGACCGGCCCCAGAGCCCTAGCCATCCTCGTGGTGGCTGCAGGCCCACAGAGGCCCATGGAGCGGAGGCTTCTGGTGCCCCTCCTCAGACACGGGCCCCTGTTTCCTCCGATCTCTTCCGATCTGCTCTCAAACGAGAAACCCACAGACGCAGCGAAGCCTCATCTTGAGCCGGCGGCAGGATTTGGGGCCCCCGAGCTGGCCTGCGTTTGAGGCTAGGGTCTTCACCAACCCCTCCGGGGGTCCTGGGCATCTGCCGGGAGCCCTTACTTCCTCATTTGTAGAATAGGGGAAGAGGCCAATCCTGTCCCTGCCTCTAACTACCGGTGTGACCTTGGGCAAGTCATTTCCCCGATTTGTGCTTCAGTTTCCCTATGTCTAGTGTGGTGTTCCTAATGATCCAAGACTGGGGACCAGACAAGGGAGCGGTAGACGTAAGCGCCCTAGGAAAAGGGAAGGGTGCGGTGCGCCCGTGGACCTGAGCTTGTTCCCTCTCTGTCCATCCATCAGTCTTTCTCTCTCTTCCTTTCTCCCCCTTCCCAAGTCCACAGTCTGTGTCTCAGACTGGGTGGCTGAGGAGGGGCCACGGCCTGCTCTTCTCTAAAGGTTGAATCATTCTTTGGTGCTAAGGGTTTTTTTTTTTCAAACAAAGCGTCATTTTAGAAAATTGCCTGGTGATGGAATGCAGTGAATTCTAGGAAATGCCCAGGTTTCCTGCTCTCTGTCTGCCAGGACTGGTCAGGCCCTGCTATAACCTGCAGGGAAATGTTTGTCGTGAAACCCTCCCAGAGTCAATACTGGGATTGCTTTTGTCAGCTTGTACCTTGAAAAAATAATAATTAGACACTTTAATTCATCACGGACAGAGCAGTCTGACATCCAGGCACTCAGTGAGCAGGAGAGTCTCAAAAAGCATTATTGAAAACATCTTAGAGCAGTAACGTTCTGGCTGGAGGCAGCCTGGGGGCCTCCCAAATGCCCCTCCCCTGTGTGGAGCAAACCTGCCAGACGAGCATGAGTTCCAATCCAGCCCTGAGCCTACCTCTCTCTGGCCCCAGCATCCGTGTCTGATGAGGAGTCTTAGAACTGGGGGAGCCGGCCTTGAACGCTGTGGTCCCGATCCCAGGCGGCCGACGCATCTCCCCTGGACGGCCCCTGCTGTGCTAGGATGGGGGAGGGGGACTGTGGTGCTCCAATTAGCTCATGGCACCACCTGGCACATGGCTCTGTTACAGACTGTGCAGACACGGGGCCTCATCGATCATGCCACGCTCGGTTACCTCGCCATCATGTTACGTTCTGCTTCCTGAGCCCTAACACACCACAGGTTGCCCACTGTGCGGGAGTGGCAGTGATGCCTGAGAGCGCGCGGTAATGAATGCTCACTGGAGTGGCTGCTGTTGCTGCTGTGATTTGTTTATCTGTCGAAAGATTATGCAGTCGGAAATCCCCCCTCTCAGGCTGCCTTTGTAAATTATCAACTTGCTCTTGACGAATGGGTCCCCACTTGCAAGGGTGGCAGTGCCGTGGGCCCAGATATTGGAAGGTGCTCGTGCGTCCCCTGCGCTGTTCCACGCTGGGGCCCTGTCGAGTAACCCTGACCTTCAGCTCTAAGACTGCATCAAAGATAATTCAGTTTTAACTCAATCGGCGTAAATGCCACTGTTTACATCAAGTCTGCCCAGCCAGACGTGAGTGATCACGCCTGCGACAAAGCTCGAACGTTTCCTCTCAGACCAAAGCATCCCGTGGCCAAGACGCAAAAGACCGCCTCGACTCTAGCGGAGGCCGAGTCGTGGGAGCCCACGAGCCAGCCTCCAGCGAGCGCACCTTTCCAGATGTAATTAACGTGTACAAATTGCTTTGTGTAGTGGTAGGAGAACTCCCTCTTTCCTGTTCTTGCAGAAGGTGCTGGCTTCATGTCACTGGCTGTCAGAATCAGAGTAAATAGAGAAAATGACAAAAAGATGAGCCGCTTCAATTACACAAGTCAGGGTTTTATCATCCATGAGAGAAGAACACAAAATGTTTGAGAAGAAAGTTCAAACTTGAATGGAGTTGTTGGTTTTTTTTAATCATAGTTTAGAATCCAGCTAAGGTGTGCTGGTGCTGCCTAGCTGAGTAATACACCAGGCTCTTCAGCCCAGGCTGTGTGCCAGTGACCCTGGCTGGCCCCCCGCCCCCGGTGACTCGGATCCTGACCACCCAGCCCCCATACCCCCAACCCGATGACTCAGATCCTGGCCCCCCCAGTCCCCATCTTGGACCCTGGCCCCCCGGCCCACCCAGCCACGTGTGAGGTCTGGACTAGGGTGGGCCTTACCACATCCATAGCTCACAGCAAGCAGGAAGGAGCTGGGGGGAACTAAAAGCAGGTGGTTAGGGGGCATCTGATGAGACCCAGACCAGATTGTGGTCCCCTGGGAGCAGCATGCACCTCTTAGACTACCTGCACTCCCTGCACTTTCAGGGGGCACGGCCCAGGGACTTGGACTGAGTCTCCAGGGCCCCAAAGCTGCCCTGAACCATAGCCTAGAAACCAGCTAGCAGGGGAGGGACCCTAAAGGTTGACCCAGCATTTTCTGTTGGCCATTCACATCCATAAATAAGGTTTTGAAAACCACTTTGACTGATGTGTGAGGTAAGCCCCTGGATCTTTGGCTGGTGGGCCCATACCCATCCGGGCCAGGGGGCGTGCGTTTTTATAGAAGCCCTACCATATTCGGGAGAATGAGGTAGGTAGAGTCACATCTTAGGCAGGGGAATCATTGTTCCCATGTTTGCTTCTGTTATCGATTCATTTATGAAGCTGCTGTTGTGTGACTGGCCCTGGACTCAGCAGGTAGAGCAGACTCCCGCCTCCTGCCCAGCGTGCCCGCTGGCCGCACGATAGAGATGTCCGGGGCAGAGTCCAGGCCAGAGATGGGGGCCCTGTCTAGAGGGGTGAGGCTGCCAGGCTAGGCTTTCAGGGGCCTTTCTTGGGAAGTGTGGCATGGCCACTGTTCGCCTGAGCACCAGCCTTGTTCCAGAAGCTTTGGGAGTGACCCGGGCGACTCAGCAGCCCCGGATACGGTGGGCCCACCATCTCTGTGATGCCACTGCCCCCGACTGACCCAGCCCTTCTCCCTGTTGTCTTTTCCTAGTCTGAAAATGATGAGAAGATTGTGACCTATGACAACATTGGACCCAATGTCTGCATGGGAGATCACAAGGTATTTTAAACTGCCACTCAGAAGCCTGCCCCGAGAAGGATGTGGGTCATCCCTCCTCGCTCTGTGTGCCGCAAGGCCGCAGGAGCTGGGAGGTGGGGAGGTGTTTGTTGGGGTTTTGGGCAGGCAGGAATGTTCCCCAGACGGCAGACCAACCACATGAGAGCATTTTCTGGAGGATTTTTATTCCCTATCCCCCTCCCCCCCATATGAATTCATATATTATTTGAATTGTATTTTCTTGGGTCCAGTTTCTGTGTGGCTTACAAGCAGTTAGGTACAAGCTCTCTGTCCAGGCCCAGGACCCAAGAATCCCATATTACACACCCCCAGCCCCTCACCTGGGATGCCGCCCAGTGAAACATCCCTCAAGAGAACAGCACATGCCACCCAAATCACTTTTAGGAAGTCAGGAGCTAAACAGAGCAGGGCCCTTCCAAACCCAGAAGCAATCTTTGCTTTTCTTAACAGAATCTTTCAGGGCAGCACGTCTGTATCGCTGCCCACTGCAAACAAGGGAGATTTCATTAGAAGCCCCTGCCTTTGCTCTCCTCACGTTATTGGTGAATTAACTGGCAATTCTTCAGTTGGGGCTTCCTCCCTCTAGATGTGGCAGTGAGACCTTTGTGACAAAACAGAAGACTGGTCTCTTCCCAGGCGGTCCTTTGGCCACCACAATTAAACATTAACCATGCGGATCCCCTTGTCCCCGAAGCCTGGGGTGGTGACCCCTGCCCCACCGATTGACAGGCCCCTGCCCCACTGGAATGGATTGAATTGGAGGAGATGGGCGGGAGGAGGGGAGGGATGGCGACTCGGCTCACACACTCGGCTCACACACACGGCTCTGACGGCTTCTCTTCTTCCTCCTCACTGCAGCCGGTGTTCCTGTCCTTCCGCATCGCTCCCGGGGCAGGTAAACCCAGTGCTCATTTGCACAAGTGTTGTGTCGTGCAGTGACGTGTTGGTAAATATCCCTTTCTTACCGGTCCCCTTTGCCATCCAGCCTTTCCTCCCATGCCGGCTCTAGGCTAACTAGTACTCCTTCCATGCCAGGGAGAAGATGCCAGCGAAGCGAGAAGATCTTTCGGGAGACTGCTTTGTAGCCTGCCTGGAGGAGGAGGAGGAGAAGCAGTGTGCTGAAACCCATTCTATTTAACAACTTATTGATAAACCAGTCCTGAGTGCCACATTTGTAGACTGCTGACCACACGCTGCTTCTGCACCAGGACGCTGTTCAAGGAGAGCCTCACATACCTCACTGTCTTGTATGTTCCTGTGACGCCAAGTAGAAATGTGGAATTTTTTAATAAGTCACAGTCCTGTTGCCAAAACGCTAATAGACAGCAGAAGTAGTCTGCCTTTTAGGTTTCACCGTTTTCAACTCTTAAACGATTGTTGGCCAATGGTGAGACGCTCCTTCTGCCTCCCGAGAGCCCAGGGGGCGCAGCCGCCAGGCCTGGCGCGTCCACCGGACTGTGTAGATACATAGCAATACTTAGCGATGGCGCTGTCTCGCCACGGGCTTAGGGTAGCTCATCCTTGTTGACTCATTGGTGATTTTTACTGATAGGCCTTGTGTTTCCCCAGTTCCATGTTATTTACTCTACTGCCATGGTCCATGGTTTTTTGAATCACACTGCAGCTGCTTTCCATATGTGTGTGTATATATATATATATATATATATATATATGTATATATATATATACACACACACACACATATATGTATGTATATATATATATTATGTGTGTGTGTATATATATAATATATACATATATGTATGTATATATATATATATATGTGTGTGTGTGTGTGTGTGTGTGTGTGTGTATATATATATATATATATACTTTTTAAAAATAATTTATAAACCTTACCAAAACCTATGCTAAGTAGACTTTCCATTCTGAAGCCCGCCAGAGGCGTTCAGTCAGCCCCTCATGTGGGAGCCTGAGGTTGATTGAGTTCCATACATACCAGCCACCAGAACCTGTAGAACAAACCCCGTGCAGCCCTGTGCCCCTCCGTGGGTCAGAAGTAACGGGAGCCTCCCCCAGCCCTCGTATGGTCATCACCCCCTCCTCCTCTTCCTGCACTCCTTAGGGATGGAATGTGATGCGACAGCTCAGCTGGGTGAACGGGGCCCCCTGTCAGAGCTTTGTGACCCATCCCAAATAGCTTTCCTTTATCACTGTCCTTGGTGCCAAGTAGTCTGGTGACCATAGTAACATCGTGGAAGAGATAAAGCAACCTCATCTGCTTCAGGTAGAACCTGCTTCTCACTGTAGGCAGGCCCGAAGTTTTAGGAACCTGCCTGCCCATGCCCCAGGCAAGCCGCTCTGGACCGCCAGCCCACCCCCTTGGTCCCCCACCTCAGCTCGGTACAGCATTAAAAGGTGATTAGCAAGGCTGCTGATGAAACACAAGCGTGGGTTTTATCGACTCCATTTAGACACTACAGAGTTTGCGGACTGGGTGAGGGCATTGCATGGACGCCGGATGGGGCGTAAAGCACTACGATGTTGGTGTGTCTGTGTCCGCTTGCAGGATCTGTTTGTTGTTGGCACCACCAGATTTGGGTGTGCGCGCTTCTGGAGGGAGAGAGACACTGCGGCCCGATCCGTGGCCAGGGAGCGTGCTCTGCCGCGGTTTCATTCAATGCGGGTAATTCTCTTGAGCGTGAATTTGACTTGTGAATAACTTGGAAGGCATTAAGAAATGAGAACTCTGTTCTCGAGCAATAAAACTGATCTTGGTGGCCTTGTTTGTGTCCCTGTTTTGTTTTCCTGCCCACCCAGGAGGCCTGTTGGGCAGGCAGGGCAGGGGGCGTTTCTCCCACCTCAATTAAGAGCGGCAGAGATCTGGCCTCTTTATGGCCCCAACAGCTGATTTCAGAGGGTTCCCCAATCCTGAGGTTGGGTGAGAATGTAGGAGGCACACAGATTTCTATGAAAGGGGGGACCGTGTGCCCCCGAGCTACTGGGGATGTGGCAAGGAGGGAAGAAGGGCAAACCTTGGAGACCTCGGTCATAGCCACAAGCCCCCAGCCAGGGAGCTTCGAGTACTTTGCAGACCCTTTCCCAGCAGTCCCATATGGATCATTGGCAGGCATTACTGGGCCTATTTCAGAGCACATGGGACAGCCTCCTCCGGAAGCCATGTCACCTGAACCCAGGTTTTACCCGGGGGTCCTCTTGTTTCATGGTCTGACCATCACCAATGGGAAATCCTCTCATGCTCCCACCCCAAATAAACCTTGGATTTGAAGAGAAAGAGACCGCTGGGCCCACATGAACCCCTAGGTGTGTTGACAGAAGTAAACACAGACCTACTGTGGGCATTATTTCAATTACTCTCCTCTGTGCACCCTGCCTCCTTCAGAGGGAGTGGGCATCTCCCAGGACCTGCTCCTGATCTCCACCTGATTCCACAAAAACCCTGGAGACATTAGACCGCCAGAGCAGTGGTGTGGTGCTCCCCATAGTCTGCCAGCCAGTGGAGTCCAAGCACTCACGAGCTGCTTTGGCCAAAATAACCGTGCCTAGGAGACCAGAGCTTAACCAGGCTGGACCACAGATAATCAGCCAATCACTGGGCCCAATTCAGCCTCCCCACTCCCTCCTGGAAGAGCTGCTGGGGCCAGCTGTCACTGAGAGAGACAGCCTTTGAAGGCTCTTCAGGGCCACCTTCCTCCCTTCCCCCCACCTCCATGCCCCGCCATCCTCTGCTCCCTCAGAACCAGCGGTCAGCCCCGCTCCCAGAAACCAAGAGAGATGTGGGCTTCTCCCTGCTTCCCCACGATGGCCTCCCCTGAGGATGGGCTTGGGCTTCAGAGTGAGTGGGCTGCCCCAGTGCATTCCAAAGGCAATAAGGGGGTGAAAGCCAAGACTAATTTCTAAATTGATTCATTTCATCTTCTGTGGCTTCAGTGTACGTGCACACACATGCACACACACACAGTAATTAGCTAGCAGGCTAAAAGATGGGTTGTTTTCATCATCACATTGAAATAAATCAGCCCACAATGGGCTCCTGGACAGCAGCAGAAGGGGCTGTGGTGCCTGACACTCTACGTCCCCCGGGCCTGAGCCAGCACCAGTCTTTCGGGGAGGGAAAGAGCACATCTCATAGGGAGAGGATTCCGAGAGTGGTTGGGGGCCTTCAGGGTCAGGGAAGCCCAATCCATCATCCTGGAGTTGACAGTAACACCCAGGACCATGCACGTTGAGGGACTGGCCCAAGGTTAGACAATGAGTGGGTGTCCGGCTCCCCCGACCCCCAGGTGGAAGGTTCCCTCCTCATGAACTAGCCTGGGTGACCCTTCTCTGGAAAGTGTTGTGCTCTAAGGCTGGGCCCCATTCAAGTGAGCAAAAAAAAAAAAAGGGAGCAGAGGGGGCAGCTAGATGATGGAGTGGATGGAGCACCATCCTTGGAGTCAGGAGGACTTGAGTTCAAATCTGCCCTCAGACATATAACACTCACTAGCTGTGTGATTATGGGCAAGTCACTTAACCCCAATTGCCTCACCGAAAAACAAAAACAAAAACAATGAAACAAAAAAAAACACACCTAAAAAAAGGGAGGAGATATTCTTTTGAAAAATCTTGTCCCTTTGGCCTTCCCTTTCAAAAGTGTAGAAAGTCATCTAAAGTTGGCCTGCAAGAGAATTTGGAGATGTGCTCAGCCACTCCACACCCCCATCCTTACCTGTGTAGGAGCTGAGGTTTGTGAAGTATGAGCTGCCCCCACACCCCCAGGGGAAATCATTTTGCCTCCTCCAAAAGCCCATCCCTACCCCTCCTGCCTAAGTCAGGAAAGGATAGCCCTTTAAACCATTACCTGGCACCAAAACCTCGGCTCAGTGGGCTGGGTGCAGCAGCAGGAAGACCTGAGTCCTAATCCTGCCTCTCTACTTCTGTGACTATGGAAGCCGCGTCTTCCTTCTGAGCCTCGGTTTCCCAGTCTGTGAAATGGAGATAATGATGTTGATGCCACCTGCCCCCAGAGGGGCTAAGAGGCTTCAATGAGGCAGTTGCACATGTGTGTTGAGCCTCTTGGACAGGGTCCTGAGAACATTCCCTATGCTGAGGATGGGCCCCATCCTGGGGGCCTCTGGGTGAGTGGGCACAGACAAGGAGGTGGGGGAGGGAGTTCACAAAGCAGGGGCAATATGAATGCCAGTTTGGCCCAGGTCTCAGACCAAGTCACTGTCAAGCTGGACTGGAGAAGAGCTAGGAAACAGGAGGTGGGGAATCACAGCTGGAAAAATAAATGGTCAAGAGGTAAAATAGCAAACAGAATGGTGTTGCCCATTGGGGGGACCCAGGGGTCTCAGGGACAGCCTTCTAGCAGAGGTGACCAGAGACTTCTTCACATTGAAGGCATCTGCCTGTCACAACCCAAGACCTTCCCCTGCTGGCTTCTGGGCCTCCTGGGGGCCCACCTGGCTGGAGGGGAGCACCTGCGTACAGCCTGCTCACCTCTCTTGGCTTGTGCATGTCCTTGAGGTCTTTTGACAAAACAAGTTTTAACACACCAATAACACTCTGACAACCTCAAATCTGAGGGACCGGTTGTCTAGTGATCTCAAAGCACTGACTGCCTATACCCCTCACTTGAAGCAATCCTTTTGTTAACGAGTTCCATGCCTACTACGCTGGACATACATGCACGGGCCTTGAACATAGCCAATGCTTAGTAAAGGTTTGGTGAATCCAATTGATTAAGTTCCCTAATCAACATTAAATTAATATGCTAATATGTTGTTAGCTGTAGAGAGGAAGGGAAAAGGAGACTCTCACTGGCTTCTCACACCTACCTGGGAGTTTGGGAATGCAGCAGATGAGGAAAGTGAGCCATGCCTCTCCCTTCATAGAGCCTCGGTGGCCGGCTTAGAGCACAGGCAGCTGAGGCACTGAGTGATGGAGCCATGCTAAGGGCACGGCATCTCCTGCCAGGCATGGCTCCCAAGGGTGCTTGGTAAGTTTCTTTGGATGGGGCCGGCATTCTGGCATCGTTCACATCGTCCCTCTGACGCCCACGGCACATCCAGAGATGGAAGACCGGCCAGTTTCTCCTCCTGCCCCCAACCTCCAGGGACTTGGGCCACAGGGAAGTTCTTGACCTGGAGCCAGGAAGTTGTTCAGTTGTTTCACTCGTGTCCAACTCCTTGTGACTCCAGTTGGAGTTTTCTTAGCAAAGAGCCTGGAGTGGTTTGCCATTTCCATCCCCAGTTCATTTTACAGATCAGGAAACTGAGGCCAACAGGATGAAGTGACTTGCCCAGGGTCACACAGCTAGTAAGTGTCCAAGGATGGACTTGAACTCAGAAAGGTGAGTCTTCCCAACTTGAGGACTGGCACTCTATGCACTGTGCCACCCAGCTGCCCATGGAGTCAGGAAGACCTGAGTTCAAATCTGGCCTCAGACACTTTCTAGCTGTGTGACCTTGTACGAGTGAGCTGCCTCAGTTCCTCATCCATAAAATGAACTGGGAAAGGAAATGGCGAATCACTCCAGGATCTTTGCCAAGAAAACTCCAGATGAGGTCACGAGGAGTCAGACAGGACTGAACAACGATTATGCCTGGGCCACACCCACAGCTGGATGCTAGGCCTTCCTCATGGCTTTTGAACTCACCTAGAGGTAAGGACCAGGCAGACTTATAACGGGCCTTCTGTACTGTTCCTGAACTGGTCAGTAGGGCTAGACCCACTACACATGGGATTATTCTACAAAAACAAAGAAGCCTGGGACCAGAAAGGGGCCTTGGAGACCTGCTGGGACCTCCAACCATGACCCCGCCCCCAAACACTGGATTGTCCTGAGGTCACACAGAAAAGTCCAATTAAAACCCAGCAGCCTTCTGGGAACTTTGGAAGGAGCAGAGGCTCATTCAGAACTGCAAGACCTGGGATCCAATGGGAGTCTTCTTTTCCTTTCACTTTAGTAGGGGGAGGGGAGGAAGCTAAGGACTACTGTCATTTGCAATGTTCTTCCGTGTCAGAGGACAGCCCTCTGGAGCTGGGCTCCTGCATCCATACTCTCTTGCCCTGTGGCCTTCCTGGGGAGCATCCCTCCCACTAGCAGGACCCTTCTCTGCCACGTAGTAACCCTGGTCTGGAAAAGGCAGGCTTGGGTAAGAATGTCTGGCTATCCTGAGGGATGCTGAGGATAGGGAGGGTGTTAGGTTGAATGGGGACCACAGAAGATGGAACCCTAGACTGTTGAGGCCCTGAACTCCCCAGTCTGGAGCAGCCCTGGCGCCGGGAGAGGGGAAAGACACTCCTCTGATTGCAGAGCTCCGGGGGGCCAGGGGCAAGCAGAGGCGTGAGGAGACAGGGAGAGGCCTCACTACTGATTCCCTGGCTCCTCGAGGTGTCCCATGACACGAGCTTAGAGGGGTACTTTCAGGGTAAGTGCCCTCCTCTCCCAAGCACCCCCCTCTCCCAAGCACCCCCTTCATGAATGCCTCCAGGAGGCCAGGACGCCAGTCTGTGGCCAGGGATGCCACCACAGTCTGCCAAGTGCGGATGGTGGATGGCGTCAGAGAGCATGGCCTCCCTCAACCCGAGATGCTAGCTGGAGCTGGGGGTTAAGGGCTGGAAACTATACACCAGGCAGCCCCTCTGTCCGATGTCCTGCTGAGGCCCCCGGGCTCTCTAGGGTTGAAAAATCAGAGGCTGGGGTGGGCAGGAGAGATGTGTCCCGGCTCTTTCCCGGTGGCTGCTTTGGAAGGCTACTCGGGAGGAGCCAGAGAGAGCTCCAGCGAGAGCCTGGAGAAGGTGGGGGGGGGCGGGGGAAGGGGAGATTCCGGTAGAGGTGGTAATGGGTGGGGGTGCCGGTGGGGCCAAAGTGAGTCAATCTTTGGACCTCAAAGCCCTCGGTCCCCCCTTGCAGACCCAAGCGAACAAGAGGGAGAATGGGACATACGGGGAGGAAGCGGGGAACCACCCCAGGGATCGCGGAGCCGGGCCGGGAGAGGGGTGCGTAGGGAACGGTGAGAGACTCTGGGGCCGGAGGGAGAGGCAAAGGACTGACTGGTAGGGAGACACAGACACAGGCCCAAAGAGAATGAGGGGAGGACCGAGGAACCTGACCACTGGAAGAAGGGAGACTAGCAGGAGGGCCGCCAGAAAGAGCGCCTGGGCTCCCACCTCTGGCCTGGTCCTCTGGGCTTGGCACAAAAAGAGTCCTGGCTAGGACTGCACGCGATGGGCAGAAGGAACTGTGGAGAGGCAGCCCACCTTCACCCGGACTTCATGTGGACCGAGTGCGCCCGGCTCAGAGTCCCCTCAGGCCAGAAGCCTCGGGTATGAGGGAGGAGAGAGCCTCCCAGAGAGGTGCAGGAGCAAGGAGTCTCTAGGGTCGCTATCCAGCTGCCAAGTCTGAGGAAGCCCAGCCCATGCTTGCCCGCTTCGCGGCCTTCCAGGAGGACTCTCGGTCAGTCCCTCTTTGGGTCTTCCTGACTCCGCATCCTTGTGTCGGGGATTTCTGACTGCTGCTTGTCTGTCTGCCTGTCTGCCTGCCTGTGTCTGCCTGCCTGTCTGTCTGTCTGCCTGTCTGCCTGCCTGACGGCCTGTCTGTCTGCCTTCCTGCCTGCCTTCCTGCCTGCCTGTCTGCCTGCCTGCCTGCCTATCTGTCTGTCCGTCTGCCTGCTTGCCTGCCTTGCCTGTGTTTCGTGTGGTCTCTGTTCTATTCCCTTCGTCTTCCGTCTCTGACTCTGGTCGGGTTTTGCGGGGTCCCAGAACGGCCACCCGTTGGGGTGGATCCCAAGTCGCAGGGAGTCAAGAGATGGGAAGCAGGAGCTATTGGGCTCCAGGGGTCCACGCTACTGGGTGTCCTGGGCGCCTGCACCAGATGGGGAGAGTTGGTGACTAGCGAAGGAACTATCCTGAACCCACAAAACCACAGTCACCTCCCTGCCCGGCACCCCCGCCCCGACCGTCCAACAGACAGTAAGGAGGCGTCAGAGGGTTTCATAACTTATTCTGTAAAAAATATATACATCCCACATACGTTTCGGCTGTACAGCACGCGCCACGTTTCACCAGCCGCGCACGACAGACAAATCGCCCTCAGACAGGGTTGGCGACACACGAGCCTGCTGAGGCCGTCGGGGGAGGGACCGGGGGGGAGGGGCGGTCGGGCGAGTCCTGGGGGGGCCGGGGGGAGGGGCGGCTCCCCCGAATCTGGGACGGCTCGGGGCCTCAGCCCCCTAGGAGCCCACGCCCTCCGCTGCGTCGCGCCGCTCACAAAGCGTCCGAGCTGTTGCTGCACGGGCTGACCAGCGACAAGTTTGTGGATTTGTGCTTTTTCAATAAGCGCGTGATTTTCTCGTCGTCCGAATTGGGGTCCAGGGGCTTGTTGTACTCGTCGTCGTCCTCGTTGTCCGAGCTCTCCTTCAGCTTCTCGGTCTCCGAGTCGTGTTTCTTTTTGGCCGACGCCATCTCGGCCGCGTGACGTTTCCGCCACTTGGTCCGCCGGTTCTGGAACCACACCTGGGCCGAGATACAAGGACATGTGGGTGGGGGCCAGGGGAAAGCTGGAGGGCTGGGGCGGGGGAAGTGTGGGGTGACCGAGACCCTGTGTGCCGCCCCTCCACACGCGCGCACAAAGGCACACACAGGCACACATGCACACGAACACACACATGCACACTAACACACGCAAGCGCGCATGCAGATGAGTTCGCCTTTCCCACACCCATACTTGGGGGTTCTATTGCGACCACCCCGCACACTAGTCCTTCTCCAGGGTTCTTTGCTCAAGGAATGTTCCCTCTTCCTGGCAATTGAAAGGCGCTCCCCCTTCATCCCCGGGGACCGGCCCTACTCCCTAACCGCCCTGCTAAATTCGCCCATTCGCCAACACTTTGGACAAGCTCGGCAGGCCCCGACCGCCTTTCTCAGCGATCTTGGCGTGGAAGGAGCATTCCTTGGTCACAAAATAGCGCGGGAGCACACAGAAGCAAACACCAGTGTATTGGGCCCGGGGCAGCCAGGCCGAAAGCGGGACGGGAGGCGCTCATGGAGCCAGTCCCGCTAAAGCCTTATTTGATCCCATGTTCATTTCAGAGTTCTTTTAAAATCAACAACATTTTAAAAGGGGGTGAGGAGCGGGGTAATGGTAAGATGGAAAGGAAACGGCCAGGGAAAAGATTTTCTTCCTGATCTCCCACGTAAAAGCCCAGAGAAGGCCAGGCCCCAGAAAACCCGCTTCGGCCGGCCTTCACGGCCTTGGAGGACGGCGCTGCAAAAAGGCAAAAAGCGATTTTCTGTTCCTGCCCCCCTCCCCCCCATTACTGCCGAAATCAATGAAATGAAGAAAGGATTAAGGGGACCTTCTCTGCTCAACTCGACTGACTTCAGCCTTTAGCGTTGGGGGCAGGAGGAAGGCGGGTGGCCACCCTGGGGCCGAAGTGGGCCGACAATTGAGGTTTCGGTGGGCACTGCTGGGGAATGTGTATTCGGAGAAATGAAGCCTAATGTTCTTGAGGAAAAATAGATAAACAAACAAACAAACGAATAAATAAATAAAATAGAGAAAAAGAGTCCAGTAAATGCGAACAGAAAAGAAAGTCTTGGGAAGAAGAAATCCCAGCGCTACATAGGACCCGTCTGTCGGTCGGTCGGTCACTCAGTCAACTAGCATTTATCGAGAGCCTGGTGTGCCAAGCGTTGTGCTAAGTCCTGGGCATAATGTACGCATGCAGACACAATGTGCACAGTTAAAAGTGCATTCTCAGAGAAATAAAGAGCCCACAGGCTACAGGATAGCCAGAGCTAAGCTTCCTATGGTAGAAATGTAAACATTTATGTTCCTGAAGAAATAGTCTACAATGCAGTAAATACATAACTTAAACGTGGACAAGCAAATTTGTTCTCAGAGAAACAGACCTGACGTGAGAGAGACAGAGAGAGAGCGTGTACTGTAAATGTGAACATTCAAGGTTTGGGAGAAATGGGCTATACAAGCCAGTAAATGCACACTCCCGAATAATAGCATTTAAATATGGACAGGCCAGTATGTTCTCAGAGAAACAGAACTGAGAGAGACAGAGACACAGAGAGACACAGATGAGAAACAGAAAAAAAAAAAGAGCATACTTTAAATGTGAACATTTATGTTCTTGGAGAAATAGGTTACAATCTACACTCATGAGTAATATAATTTAAATGTGTATAGGCAAGCATTTTCTCAGAAAAAAAATCTAATGCTTGTATGAGAGACAGACTCAGAAAGATGGAGACAGAGACACAGAGACACGCAGGGAGGGAGGAAGAAACAGACAGAGAGTATATATTTTAAATGTGAACATTTATGTTCTTGGAGAAATGGACCACAATCCAGTAAATCCACACGCATACATAATAGAATGTAAGCGTGGACAGGAAAGTGTATTCTTAGAGAAACAGAGGCAGAGAGCACACTTTAAATGCCGAGAGAAATAAATGTCTGTTCTTTGAGAAATCCATCCTGCCTTGTACATCAACACTGGCATACAGAGAGACGGGATACATTCGACATGTGAGGAGAAAGTATATTATGGGAGAAATGGCCCCAGTGATACACATGCATACACAGGAAGATAGGTTCTCGGAGAAATGGACTTTAATATGATACTCTCATAAATACACAATCAAAATGTGGATTGAGAAATAGGTTCTCGAGAAAGTGGAGTCCAATATTAGACTTGCCCAGAGAGAGAAAGGGAAAATATACTCTAAATGCAGACAGGAAAGTATGCTTCTGGAGAAATAGATCTCAGTGTTACACACACACACACACACACACACACACACACACACACACACACACACCACAATTTGAACAATAGGAAAGATTTTTTTTAACCACATGAAATTAATCCGTGTTAAGCGTACACACAGCCAAACATACTTTAACATAATTGAATTGAAATGTGAACTTGAATGCGCTTGTAGCAATGGAGCCCCTAATCTGACCCCTCCTCGATTCTCCAATCAGCAGACCTCTCCAGAAGGGACCACTTACAGTTATGGATTTCAGGGACCTGGGCTCATGGAGAGAGCAACTCTGCCCGGCCAAGCACCCGTTTGCATCTTTCTCAGGGTTTCTGGAAGGCTCGGCTCGGCGCAGATGCAGAGAGTGGAAATCCACTCTCTGCCCGATGTAAAAGCGCTCTGCCTCTCGGTCAGCTGGTCTTTTGTTTCTCCCCAAGTTCTGTGGAGGCCTGGGCCCCCAACCTTGTGGCTACATCCACACACCAGTGTAAATGTGCAAAGGAAAGTCAGCGGCCTTGCCTCAATGGAGCTCGATGTAGCCCAAACATGCTGATACCCATTTAAAAATAATATTGGAGAAAGGATCCTAATTTATATAACTGTACGTGTGAATTGGCGTTCGGTCGGGAGAACATCACTTGCCCGGTAATACACACCCTCATACACAGACACAGCATGGTTTTACTGCGCTTAGGAAAGTTGATTCTTGGAGAAATCGCTCCTAATGCCCCAGCCCCGGCACTTATTTGAGGGACGCACACACACACAAATACAGGTACACATATATACATGCACACATCTCGGGAATCCACTCCCCACACCTTGCTCTGTCTATACCTGAGACAGAGTCCAGCTTTAGGGCAGCCTTCAGACTCGAAGCCCTAAAGTACTCTAGTGGCCCTAAAGAGGTCCAGATTCACGTCCCAGGGCAGCTCAGGAAGAGCTCACAACAGGAAATCGTAAATCCCTCTTGAATTCGCGGCTTTACGCTTCACATGAACTGCTTATATGCTCATATGAACTGTTTGCTGCGAGTCAGCAAACGAATCTCCCCATGTCCAGGCTACTATCATGGCCTGGTGCCCTCGGGCTCCCCAACTCCGAGCACTCCTCCCACCCGGCATGTCGCTCGCGGCGCCCCCAAGCCTCGGCTCACCTTCACTTGGCTCTCGGTCATGCCCAGCGAGTACGCAAGCCTCGCTCTCTCGGGGCCTGCCAGGTACTTGGTCTGCTCGAAAGTCTTCTCCAGGGCAAAGATCTGCTGGCCCGAGAAGGTGGGCCGCGAATGCTTCTTCTTGCCGTCCTTGTCCAGAGCCAGGCCGCCCTGAGCTGCGGGGAGGGGCGACAAGACCACGGTGGGTCCCAGGGCTCCCACCTGGCACAGCCCCTCTCCCTCCATGCCCTCTGTCAGGACTCGGGCCCGGGTCACAGTGGCAGCGGTCGGAACTCCTGCCCTCCTGCCAGCCTAGCTGGAGGCCGGCGAAATCTAGTGGCGGAGGCCGGCCGGGAGGAGCCAGAGACCCGGGACAGCCCGGCGGGCAAGCGGGCGGGCGGGCCAGGACTCCTGGAGCTAGCAGGGCAGGGGCGGCGTGGGAAGGAACCACCGACCTCCCGCTTCCCGGGCCCTGCCCCCAGACACTAGTACATGCACACTCACATAAAGGCACTTGGGACACACACTCCCTAGTGCTCAGCCTCGCCCTCCCTGATGCCGCGCGCCGTGGTCGGTCGGCCCGCAGGCACCCGGCTCGGCTCCTATGGCCCAAAGCCTAGCAGACACACTCGCTCCCTGCCTTCGCAAGGAAGGGCCTCGGTGCAAAGCCTCCAAAGGCGTTGGACGGCCACCTCCGCGGAGGGCCGGGCACTTAATATAATTCGTGTGACTTTGAAGAAAATCGTCATTGGAAAGGAGACTCCAAATGAGTTGCCAAAGTTCCGGCTTCTGAGTATGTGCGACTCTGTGTGTGTGTGTGTGTGTGTGTGTGTGTGTGTGTGTGTGTGTGTGTGCGCGCGCGCGCGCGCGCGCTCGGACCTGCAAAGTACCTAAACTTCAGAACGAGCTGCCTGCACCCTCAACGATCCCGGTCGGTAGTGAGTAACCACTACTGTCCCTCGTTGAGAAGGTCCCTGAGCTTTGCCCCAAGCCCCGCGGTCCGTGCCCTGGGGCGGACTGCAAGCTGCCTTTCTTCCCGTCCCCCTCCCTGGCCCCACTTCCCCTAAACCCTCTCCCCCTTCAGGACAGGCCGCACTTACTAGGGCAGGCGATCCGCGGATCCCTCCACGGGGAGCCCTGCATGACTCCGGGCCAGAAAATAGGAGGGCGGCCGGGAAGTTCTGCCAGGGGCTTCGGGTACCTGGAGACAGCGGCTGCAGCGGCCGCAGCGGGGTTGAAATACATGCTGGCCGACGTGGCGAGCCCACCGATCCTTGGCAGGCCGCCCAGAAGGTTGCTGCTGGCGCCTACGGGCCGGCCCAGAATGTCACTGATGCCGTGCGGAGTGCCCAGCGGCATCTGGGCGTTAAGGCCGCTCAGGGCAGGAGCCTTGAAGGTGGATGGGTTCTGCAAAGCATAAGGGAACAGCGACGTCTTCATCTCGGCCATGTTATGGAGAGCAGCCAGAGGCGTGCTGCTCAGCACGAAGGCGCTCTGGCGGGGGTTGGCATCCATGGGCCCCACCGCTAACATTGGTCACCATCAATGGCGAGGGAGCGGGCCTAGAGGCGCCTCTGCCTGGCCGCCCGGCCACCCGCCCCCTCGAGCCGCCGCCTTGTCTGAGCGGGAGAGGCGTGGATACCGAATGCCCTGGGGGAAGGAGGGCTCTACCGCAGCATAAATCCGAGGCACCCCAAGTGCCCACGGCAAAAAGTCTGCCGCCAGCAGAGTTCAGCACACTCAATGTTTACGGGCGGCTGCGGGGGGAAGCAGACCGACGCGCAGCTGGACGGATGCTGAAATAGCCTGTTTACAAAGCTCTGTGCACTGGGCTTGGCCAAGCCCCGCGGACTGTCCCTAGCTTAAATCCAACAGCAGAGCCGGGGAGAGAGCAGAAGGGCTAGGAGCGCAGGGCCCGGCAGGCGGCCAGGATGTCCGTGGTGGAGAGTGGCGGCCGCAGAGACCGAGCCAGAAGCAGAGAAAAACGGAAAGGCGGCCAGTCTCCCGCGAGGCTCCGAGAGGTGTCCGCGAGCTCCCTCCTTGCCCTGGTCTCTCTCTCTGCAGCCTTGCCTTCTGGCGTCCCCGCGTCCCCGCGTCCCTGACTGTCTCGCTGCCTCCTGGCCAGCCGGGCTGCTCGGAGCTGAGCGCCGCGCGCCACTGGAGGCGCTGATAACCGCCCGGCCACCTGCCGGCGCGGGCCCTGATTGGCCGGGCCTTGGCCGGGGCTGGCACCCATTGGCCGAGGAGCCAGGCCGGCTCCCACTTTGCATGCGCGTCATGGGCAGGACCCCTCCACGAGGTGCGACGGGGCGGGCTGGTAGCCAGGTGCCTCAGCCCTGGCCGTAGTAAATCGGCTGCTGATGAAGCGCAGTGCAGCTCTGCCCGGCCCGGGCCTGGCCATTTGAACGGGGCTGATACTGTACGGGGAACTCGGAACCACGTCGAGAGCCTATTGGCTCAGTTTGGGAGCCTGCAGATTTCTAAAGCCAGGAGTGGGACGTTCGTGGGACCCAGCAGATTCCAGAAAGCAAAAGCCCATCTGTCCAGGGTGAAAGAGGACCTGGGTGGAAGGGATGGAGACCCAGAGGGCAGGGGCGCGGAGGATGGAGCAGAGGGGACAAGAGAGGAAAAGGCACGGAGGAGGACCCAGGGGCATAGGCCATGGAGGGAGAGACAGGGAGAATGGGCCACAGGGGCATAAAAGAGAGACGCTCTGGGCCACGGGGACAAGGGCCGCCGAAGGATGGCAATACAGGCCCGCAGGGCAAGCCGTGGCTCTCCTCCTACTGAAGGAAAATGTCCAGTGATCCCGGGAGGTGGACGCTGAGACGCTACTGACGGTGGCGGGGAGCGGCTCGGTGAGGACCCGAGTCGGGCCAGGCCAGGCGGGGACAGGTTACCGGGGCCCTGACTTCGACCTAGGCTGGAGAGAGAAGAGGAAAGGCTGGCAATGTCTGCGCTGCCCCAACAGCCTCTGGCCGGCTTGGCTTCGGGAAATGGTTGCCATCCACAGTGTCATCCGCCCCCGAGTTTCCCTGAGGGCAGGGCCCAACGAAAGAACGAATGAAGAACGAATGAAGACGTCTCTCTGGGAGACCTGGAATGTGCAGAGTTTCCTGTTTTTCTCAGCAAACCTGAACTCTGGTGGCCAGGGCGTCCTTGCTCAGGGAGAAGTCAGACAAGGCTGCCACAGAGGCCAGAATTGGGCTCCTGCCTGGATCCCCCCCCCCAACCTCCCCAGGCAGGACCTGAGCCCTGGGCACCATGACCAACGAGGCCTGGCTTTGCAAAGCGGGTGCCAGGCCCGGAGACCTAGAGTTCCTGCCTACTGCCGATCTGTCAGTCTCTTGGTCCGGATGCTCGAGACGCTTGGTGGCGTCGGGCCCTTTATCCTCCCCGAAGATAATGGGGAGCCTGCCTTGGGGAGGGGGAACGGCCTCTTGCGCGTTGGAGTAGGGGCCACGAATTTCCTGGAAGGAGCTCTAGCCACTCCCGTAGCTTGGGTCTCCGCAGAAGTTCTTGAGAAGCCGCCTTGACACTCCGAGGAGCTCGGGGCCTGCGGTATCGGTCTGAACTGGCTAGGACCTGCCGCGGCATCAGCCCCAAACATCTGCTGAAGACAATGGTGGAAGGGAGGGAAGAAAAGGGACACAGACCGGGCCAAAAAAGAGAGAGAGGTAGGTGGGGGGAGGGCAGAGGGAGCAGACCACGAAGAGAGGGCCAAGCCAACTCAATCCGAGATGCATTTCAACGCCTGCTGGGGGCCAGGAGCTGCACTGGAGATGCAGAAAGACTAGTGGGTGCAGTCTGCCAGGGACTCCCAGCCTCTCGTGGATGGGGGAGCCAAATCTACCAAACAGTAAACACGTATTAAGCGCCTACTATATGCCAGGCACTGTGCTTAACGACCAGCCGGTTTGTCCCTCCCATGTGGAGGGGCCTAGGAGTGAGGGGGGCACTCTCACTCTCTTGTTCGGTTGGCTCAGGGCCTGTGGGCGAGCAGCCTTCCACCTGCTGAGCCGCTCCATGCACCCTCCAGCCCCTCAGGCTAGCCCTGCCTTCTAGCCCCTCGCTTCCCTCAGTGGGCCCAAGGGACCTCCCGAGGGTCCCTTCCCTCCGACCAAACTGGTGAAAGCAACTAGTAAATGTGAGAAAGACTAGAGAAGAAACCGTAGCTGAACTTGGGTGCTTTGCCTGTATCTGGCATGACTAGCTCCATGCTCAGCACCCTAGCCACTGCCCACACTGAATATCGTTTGTATATATGCATGCATGCATGTGTGCATCTATGTATGTACGTATATATGTTGTGTAGATACCAGTTTAACACTACACCAAGACTTGTGGTACACCTCCCTGTGTGCGCTAAATACACATATGGATGTATGTATGTGTGCGTGTGTGTATACAGATATATGCATGTATGTATATATATACATATATATATACATATATATAATTTATATTGACACACAAAAAGAGAGAGACACAGAATGAAGAGACTGAGGGAAAAGACAACACAGGGACCGAATGCTCTGTGTGGGTGCGGGTGTGTTGGGAGTGGAGCCTGAGCCTTCCAGACCCTGATACAAAGATGCCTGGCATCGATCCTCTCTACTCCCCTCCCCCGGCCTTCTGAGGGTGGGGTGGAGCCGGTCTGAGACTGGAAAGTGAAGAAGGGGACCTCGGAAGGGGCTTGGGGCGTTGGGCTTTGGCCCGAAAATTAGGTTTATTCAGGTATACAGGAAGGGCTGCCTAGTTCGGGCGTTGAAAACAGGGTGGGGATATTTCTTCTCCATCCTGAGCCTTCTCCCCAAAAGGAGCCGTAAGAAATGGAGGCCAGCCTGCTTCCGAGGTACCCTGAAATGCGCGCAGTCGCAACAGTCTGCGGGGGTGGATTCCTGAGGAAGCAGGAATTTGGGGGCCCAGGGGAAGGGAGCTGAGGGTGGAGGCAGGGTGGAGGACCGAAGATGGGCGGAAGGCGCCCTACCGCATCCAGGTTTGATTGTCGGGGGCTTAGGGTGGCGGGGGGAGTGCGGGGGGGGAAAGGGACAGGGTCGGCCCCAGCGCTTAGCAGAGGGCCCTCTGAGGTACAGTATACCTGCAGCTTGTGTCAGGGCCTGAGCCTGTGGGTTGTGACTGAATGAGTTTGGGAGAGCCTTTGGGTGGGGGGCGCTCCCGAGTGGGCAGCTCTGCATACTTGGCTACTTCGAGGTTCCATGTATACCTGCACCTGTGTGTGTTCACGTGTGCCCCGCGCTGCAGCCACAGTGCAGGGGCTCTGCAGCTCCTTCCCAAAGCAGCCTCTAGGCTGGGGACAGCTGGGTGGCGGCTGCGGAGAGCCGCTCAAACCTGTGGGTGTGCCTCGGTGCGGGCGAGCTTCATCTGAGCGCTGGATGTAAATGGAGCGGGGGTGGGATTCCCTGAGAGGCCTCGACTTGCTGGGCTCAGGGTGCTGGAGAGGCCGTACCTCCAGTCCCCCCAAGGGCAGAGCCCTCCACGCCCGGCCCACCCTCCGCTGCCCTCTGGCACTTAGTCTAGAGCCTGGCACTTAGTAGGCTCTCAATAAATGTTTATTGCCTGACTGGGGAGAACGGATGGCGCAGCAGGATCTCTTCCCCACCACCCTGAACGTACAGCGTGAGTAGAAACTTGGAGCTCCTGCCCCGGGGGGGAGCCTCGAGTTTGGGGTTAGAGAGGCCCCGGGGATGGGGGAGGCGCCGCAGTTTGGGGCTTCGCCGGAAAAGAGAGGCTACGCTGGGCTCGGGGCAGGGCGCCCAGCTGATTGCTGCAGAATTCAGGCTGGAGCTCGAGGCGCCGACTTTGCAGCCAAAAAGCGAACGAGGAGCACTGAGTTTGCCCTCCGCCTCGGAATCAGTGGGTTTCTCCCAGGTTGTCTATGGGTTCAGGGTCTGCAGTGAGGGATGTGAGGAACAGGGCTTGTGGAAAGAGGTTGGAGGTGCGTTCAGATACACTTGCAGCCCCTGTCTCTCTCTCCCGCATCCCTCCCTTCGGCCCTCCCTTTCTCCCTTCCCATCCCAGAGTCCAGTCATTTGTGCTTTTTGGAGGAGCTTGAATGAGAGGCCTCAAACCTGGAGAGCAAGGACGTCTGTCCCACCGTTCCCACCTTGGACTGCATGCTCCGGTTACAGCCTCCAACCTGCGCGCGCACAGAGACACAGACAGACAGACAGACAGACAGACAGACAGACACCACACACACACACACACACACACACACACACACACGGGCACACACACGGGGTGGGGGTGGTGGAGCAGCTGGGAGAAACTGAGCCCTTGAGGTGCTCAAGATGCAGGGAGATGTAATGACCTCCCCCAATGATTTTTGCTAACTCCAAGTTAGGCTCAGTTATTTCTAGCAGATGCCAGATTTTCATGTTGTCGGCCCAATGTAACTTTCACGGCCCTCGGGAAGAGTTCCCACCGCATGCACTCCGTGTCCAGCCTGACCGTCCCGATTCTCAGGACTGAGCCGCCTCGCTCTGGCCTCTGCACCTCCCTCCAGCCTTCTCCTCCTCTCCTTGTGTCTCATCTTTTCCCTTCTAGGACTGCAGGGCCTGGCTTTTTGCTGGTGTTTGTAGCCTCAGCACCAAGCTCACTGCCTGGTCCACAGTAAGTGATTAATGTGTGTGGTTATTCTTGTTGTCTGTGTATCCAGGCACAGGACTCATTCACTTGGAGGTCTGAAAGGTAGGTAGGCCACTGAGGGGAAAGAGGAGGAAGCTCGTGGAGGGAAATCCTAGTCTTCCCCTGCTTTGGATACGGCAAAATATCATCCCAAAATCATTGGGACCCCTGGAAACAGTGCTTTGTGCATTGAAAAGCCATCTCCTCTCGGTCTCTCTCCTGTCTGTCTGTCTGTCTCTCCCCTGTCTTTTCGATGCCACCCTCCACCCCCAGGCCATCCATAGGCCTAGCTGGGCACAGCAAGGAGTTCAAGGCAGCCCTTGTGGCCACCCTGATCTCCTAGGGTCCATTTGTCCTCACCATCTGCTTTCACAATCTATCAGAGAAGCTTTCTGGAGGAAAAAAGCTCCTCTTCTGTCTCCCAGCCCTTGGCCTGATCATCCAGCTTTTTCAGGGGTTATTCCTCCACAA